TTTTTTTTGTTTTTATGTCAGAGTGACGAAAGGCGCGGGGAAGCCAGACTACCCGCTTTTGGCTCTATTTTCAGGGCTCTGTAAAAATTATAAATAATCGAGATACAGTTTCGGGAGTCGCAAATTCACTGATCTTTTCAAATCTTTTTTCAAATTTCCAAAATTTTGAACATTTTCCGAGATATTGCGAAAAAACTAAAGCCCAATTTTTTTTCACTTAATTGTTTATAACTTTTGTAAATTTTATCGTCGCGTTTTTGGACTTTTCCTTAATCTTTCTAGGCAAAAATACGAATCGAATGACCTTGGTCGTAATTTTTGGACAGGGCTGAAAAATGTTACAAAAAAAAGTACATGTGAACTAGACTATTAGTGATTTTTATGTGATGAAATTGGCCAATATTCAATGAAATCCATAACATATTCAAGTAAAACACCACATCCTGTGTTATCTACGAACATCATACGATAGCTTTCTCAGGCGTATTCATATCAGTATGAACACTATACAGTAGATTCCTCAGGCATATTTATACTTCTACGAACACTATAAATTTTTACAATGCGAACAATGCGAAAAAGAGATGCCAGTGAATAAGATTCGAATGCATTTGAATATTGAAATACAGCGTTTATGTATCAATGTAAATAAGAATCTACATCTCAAGTTTGGTTTCGAGGGAAACAAACTATTACAAGCAACATCAGATTTGACCGAAATTCCTTTCTCAACTGTACGTAAAATAGTCAAAAACAAACTTTATGAATGCAAGACGCGATGTGATATAGGATTACCAAAACCTTTAGATGTTCATCTAATAAAATCATTGAAAAAAACAATATACGACTGTTACAAAAGCAATCACATTCCTACAACTGAAATCATAAGGAAGAAATTGAATACTTCCGGCCATAACGTGAGCTGCTGTGACAAAACTCTTCAAAATTGGGTAAGGAAACTAGGATTCAGATTTGAAATGATGAACAAACGTGAAACAGTTATGGAAAGCAGAAGAATAGTGAAATTGCGTAACAAATATTCAGAACAAATAACTAAATGTAGACAAGAGAAACGGCAAACTTTCCATTTGGACAAAACTTGGTATGACACTCACGACACAGTTACGAAAGGGTGGACTGATGGTTCGAGAATGTGTACGCCTAACATGCCTGAAAACAAAAGATCGCAACTGATTATTTGCACTGCGGTGGAAGAGAGAAAGTTTCGAGAAACGGGTCATGTTGAAGATCTTCGTAAAAGTGGTAGACAATCAATTTCAGAAGCCCAGAAACTTGACGTGGTACTTGTGTTCCAAGAAAACCCCCATACCAGTTCGAGGCAAGTCGCACTGGATGAAAATTTACACCAGTCGTCAGTGTGTTGAAAAATAAAAGTGGCATCCGTATAAAGTTCATCTGGTCCAAGAACTGTTAGAAGATGACTTTGATAGAAGAGTCGAAATCTGCAAAATCATGATGGAACGCTCTAACAGAGATTGAAGTTTCATACAAAATGTAATATTTTCAGATGAAGCTACTTTTATGCTCGACGGTCACGTAAACCGTCAGACGTATCGATACTGGGCAAGAGAAAATCCACATTGGATTGATCAGGAGCATAACACACAAAATCCACAAAAATCCAATGTTTGGACTGGAATTTTGAACAACCAGATAATAAGGTCTTGAGGACAGCCTAACTGGTGCTGGTTATCATAAATGTATTTTATACATAACATGATAAAACAAATATATCTATCTATCTATCTATATCTATCTTGTTAATATTGAGCTGTTTCAAAATTCGCCTGACTAGAAGTTGTCAAAAAGTAATTTTCAGCATTGTAGGAATAGTGGGTCGTTCCTTTCCCAGAAAATCGACTGTGGAGTGGAAAGCAAATTTTTAAGCTAGTAGATTTGCTTTTTCTATGGCTGCTGTTGCAATTGAACCACCTGCCTGTGTGACCTATTGGGATCAAAGGGCATAATAGCCCTATAATAGATTTATGAAAATAAATATGAGTGTCAAGAATGGAGATCTTAGTAAAGCTTCAACAAATATTGTTCTGGAATCAATACTTTCTACATTGTTCAAGATAATATCATAAATAGCTGCTACGTTGGAAAAATTGACACTGATGTGAGTATATCAATAGAACATTGTTCAGGTTGAGTTTGTATGATTGGGATGACCCAATCATCAAGTTGTTATAATTACTCTACCAATCTGTTTATTTTCCCAAAGCAGACAAATGAATTATTGGACATCAATAAACACTGAGACACCTCATTCCTTCATTCTTATAAAATACACTCCTGCAATTTCAAAAATAGCTCTCCCAACCTGTGCCTGAACTGGGTCGCAGCAACGCCAATCCGAACCCTATTCATCCAATGAAATCAGAATCCCCGGACGAACAGTCCTGAATTAATCAACGCACCGTCCGAGATTGTTACCTTCCACGTGTTGGCTTTGAAGGATATTGCTCTCACCTGCTCTGCGCTCTGTTCCTCGATGACGAGCTTCACTTCCAGCGACTGCCTAGTCTCTAAAAATGCCCTTCGCTGTTGTTTGTCTTCCACGAGAAAAGACGTTATACCCAAAAGACTGGCCGTTAGCAGCAGGATGCTGTTCGACACGTGCTAGAAGAGAAAATAATTTGTATTACATCCAGGTGGGATTTATTGTAGGGGGAGGAGGAGTGGTTGGATGGGATTGGTTTTGCAAGGGTTGCAAAGAAAATTGAATTGAAAGGGAGACGTAGATTGTTGTCGTTTTTTTACTTGCTGATACATTTGTACAACTTCACTTATAAATCAAAGTGATTCAAGATGTCTTTTGTACTAATTACAGAGCGGTACAAAAAACAATTTATTCAGTGGCAGACATTCTGAATTCAATTATTGCTATGACGTTGATCTCAAAATAAAAGTTATGTTCAATCCGTTTGAGAAATCAATGAAAAGTCACTTTTGCTGAAGGAACGGCTGTATTTTAATGCTTAGAGTAATGATTTCATTCCCTCATGTCGGTCATTAACAACGATTCAGGAATCGTCAGTGAATGAGTTGCAATTATGTAAAGTGAAAAATTTAAAGTCATCTACCAGTTCTTTAGGATATTGAGGAACACTCAAATTGGAACAGAATGAAAACCGTAACCTCTGGTGAGACATGACATGACAATTATTTATGCGCGCATAACTACAAATATCATAACCTCAATTCTCTTCGCGCGCATTATGAGAAGTGTCCTAACCTAACAAATGGAACGTCGTCAACTTCTTTTAATGTTCATCTCAGATAAAAAATCATAAAAATCGATCCAGTCATTCTTGAGTTGAAAATGATGTAACTGAGATAATTGTGCCACTTTGTTTTATAAGTAAGAGATACCACATTCAATTATTATTCAATCTGCAGTGTATTCCACATGAGATAGAAGTCAAGATTGGGACGGATCGTTCTTACTCCAAGGATTATTGGAGGATTGGACGGCAGAGACAAAGCCCTGACAGATCCCTTATGAAATTGAAACAGAAGCGAGAGGACACAAAATTGGAGATTTGAGAACTCCAATTAGTCGTATCAATGCTTCTGAACTTCAAAAAGTTAATTGTAGCTGACTATTTTTCGAACGTTTCATTTTGTCCCGAAATTGAGTAACGAAATGAAACCAAGATACTGCATTGTGCTGAATTTAAGGAACTATTCCGGTTCAGAAAACTGTACACACCTCAAAAACATCACTGAGGTATCGATAACAATCACATTAGTACTGTCATATGAATGGATTTCAGCAAAGCTCTTGATGTTCTGGGTCACAGACATCTTTTTATGCAAAAACTTTCGGTTCCAGCAACTATCTAACTAGCAGATTCCAAAGCGACAGAGTATGAAATCCCTTCGCCTCTCACATTGTGAATGCCTCAAAGATCAACATCAGGTCCCATACTTTACTCCATATACAGATCTCGGACTACAGTGTAGGTATTATGCTGCCATCATTATGCTGCCCAAACCCAACAGCAATATGACTTCCCTGCATAAAATAGCCATGTAGCAATTTCCTCATATTCTTCAGTAGCAAATCCAAATGCATCATAGAAGTTGAAACAAACGTTTAGCCTGTAAAAATTCCCAAATCAGCCTGTCGTCAGATGATCCGGATGGATTCCACAGTAACTGTGTAATATATCAATTTCTGAATCAGAATTCAGATAATTCAGAGACTTTTTCATCAATCAAAAATTAGGGATTCACTAACCAATATTGAAGTTAAGAAATGGCTCGCGTCAAAACTGAGAGCACAGCAAATTACTTACTTCTAACCTGTGATGCGTAAAAAATACACAGGCTCTTATGTATATACTCCACAGACAAACATTGATACGTGTTACACTAGATTTCACTCACGCAATAAATTTACCACCGGTTCATGATAATGCCAGCTTTGCAGAAAATTGAGGGTGATCTCGAAACCAATATTGACTGGATCAGTGTATATGTATATGCAGTAGTATAGTTTCTATTTACATTCATTAACAAGCGGTTTCGATTCTGTCAATACCTCGTGTTCATTATAATTCCAGTCGGTTGCACTATATTTCCTAGTGGCGTGATTCATATTCAAACTAATGACCTCCCCATCATCCCCAGAAACAGTATACCTGTCGATAATGACTTACTACACAGCCAGAAGCAGGGCGACTATCGATTGGGAGAAGTTCGATGTAAGGAGATATTTTACTGGGAAATGTTTCTCTGTCAGAGTTTTTTAAGTTGGTGATTTCACAAATTAGTTTTTCTGGCGAATTTTGAATAACCTTTCTTGTATTCTTCGTATCCGAAAACAATTTTTTTATTTCAGACCACGAGTTTAAGCAGTATGTATTCCTGAACATTCTTGTGCATTTCAAATTGACTGAAACATGTACATCGCCAGTCCAAATTCGGAATAATGTTCACAATTCACAAAAAACCATTATTATCATCAAGACGTTCTTGTTTTTGTTCAAAAGTGAGCTCTCTAGGCGCTCACTTTGAAAAGAGCTTTTTCATAGTCAATTTGTCATGCCATATAAACACACCTTCTTTTAATATCTTTAGAATGGCAGCTAACTCAACAACTTCACTATTCGATCATTCAAAACGATAGGTAATCTCTAAACCTGACGTTCACCCTCCCTTTCAACTTCGTATGTTAGGTTAGGTCACATATGAGGTTAGTTTTTGATAAAAATTAACTTTTCTTTTCATTTCCGTAGGTCAGGTTCGTTTTTGTTAAAAAAAATCCCAAATTTCGTGGGCTAGGGTAGGTTATATGTTAGGTTCGGTTAGGTTAGTTTAGGTTAGGTTAGGTTAGGTTAGGTTAGGTTAGGTTAGGTTAGGTTAGGTTAGGTT